CTATCTTCAGCCACATGACCAAGTTATGGCAGACAGGGGATTCAAGATTCATGACCTGTTAGCATACTACCAATGTTCTCTAACAATTCCACCCTCCAAGCATTCCAATCTCCAGATGTCAGGTGCTGATGTTAGGAACACATCACTTATTGCTAATGTACGGATTTATGTCGAGCAGGCTATCAAGCGAATTAAAGACTTTGCTATGTTAAAGCAAGAAATTCCCATTAGCATTCTTTCCCATTTGGATGACATAATCATCATTTGTGCAGCAATATGTAATATGAAAAAGCCTTTGAGTACATAGATTTCATTTCATCAATTATGTTTGCATTTTGTACCAGTCCAAAATGTTCCCATTCAATTTTCTCACAGGTTATAAGCTATGGTAGTCAAGTTTATTTACACATCTTCTAGAATACAATTCCTTTATGGAATTACACAAACATGTTTGTATATAGCTACAACAATGTTCAAACAATAACTTTGAAACTTTAGTAATACTAAATACTATAATGTTTTGGTTTCATCCGCACTATTTTGTACTATTTAGTAGTTTGTTGAGGTCATATTGCTTCCACTCTATAATTTTAATCATTATCTATTGCTTGTTCATTGCAAAATCTGCAAATGAATGTTGATTCTTGTTCAAAATTTGAGCAGGCCCAGTGAAACCATAGCATACAACATTCACACTGAACACTGTTTTCATCATCACATTCAATTTCATCTGGCTCAAGACAGGGTTTTTCACAGACAGCACAATAATAAATAGGCCTAGTACCTAGCAACACCCTAGCAACATAAGTCTTGAAAAAAATTGTTAGATTTGGTATGATATCTTGCCACAGTTTTAAATCAAACTCAATAATTTCAATATGAGCACCACTAAGTGGAGTCCAAACAACAAAAAAGGTTTTAGGACATCCTGTTAGGGCCATTTGTCCTTGTATCTGGTAATAATAACTGTGGGTTCTCTTGAGCATGATATTCCCATTCACTAATTCTAGATAAGTTGTATTGTTCCAATGCTCATCAAATTTCATGTCTGCAAGTGAGTATGGACATTTATACTCAATACAAGAATGACCACAGCAATCGCAGTGAAAAATACCATCTGGGGTAGCTCCCACAAAAGGGTAAGTTTTAGATATAAACAAGCCACAAGTCTGAAGCTTTGCATTTTTGTGTTTTTTGGATTCTTGTGCAAAGAATGATGCAGCAGCATCTCTCTCATGTTCTCTTCCCCATTTAATGGCAGGTATCATTGACAGATCGGTACAATCTAAAATTCGCTCAAGAAGAGGTGTTACTTTGCAATTTGGCTTTCTTTTTCTAAGAATTGTTTTTGTCTTTGTGTATACTTCATGAAAATGAGATGCAGTTATTCTACCTTTTCTTTGCTCTTTCCATATACTGGAGTTAGCCTGATCCCTTGTGGCCTTTTCTAATTCTTTAATGCTACTGTCATTGAAAGATAATTGTTCCAGAAATTGTCTCACTAATTCATCAGCATCTACACCATTGTTTTTAGAGGATATATCATCAGCTATAATTTGTAGTGATGGGGGAACATCATCAGAAGTTGGTGGTGCATATGAAATATGGATGACAGCATCAGGATTTATGTTTCGAAGAGAAGCTAGAAACTTTTGCTTGCTTTCTTCGGTAACAACCCTCAAGGATTCTGGCCGAGGATCAAAGTTCTGTTTTTCCTTGCTATTAATAGCATAACTTGGGTTTTCTTTGACTACCTTGTGGCTTTGGAACACCATGTCCTTTAATTTCATGGGTTGGATGTCTTTCTTGCTAGTATTATTCCACACACATGCCTTATCTGTGCAGGAAGGATCTGTGAAACCTTTCTGGTTGGCAAACTCAACTTTATATAAAAGGGCTATGACATGATTACAGCACTGACTGTATCCAGCTGTACAGCTACAATATGCCCCAAGAATTTCACCGGGAGATTTACAAATTATCCACACTTTATGAGGTTCTTCGCGAATTCTTTGAGATGGAGTGACAGATGCAAACAACAGAACTTTGTCTTGTCCATGAATTGTTTTTGAGTATACAGTGTGCACAAAACCACTTTTAAAGTATGAATACGCTTTTCTGATTTTATATTGACCAATATAGTCAGTGTCGAAAGCTTTTTTTCCAAGTATAAACGAGAATATTTGACCAATGTTTGTATGCGGCCACTTTGTTACACAGTCCTCCCAATCGACCATGGATAACGGATCCTTTATACCGCATGTGCGTAGTAGTTCTACATGTTCATTTTGTAGTGACTTGGCTTGGCTTTCGGCCGAATCTCGAATAGGCGTTTTATGTTCAAAAGCTACCAAAGCACGAGCAGCAAGATCCGAGTGTGTCCCTCCAGAGGGCAAACCTCGCTGTTTAAGATAAAACTGCAATTCCCCACATGAAAGTTCCAAAAAATCTTCGAGGTGCGTGGCCATGATCGTGTTGTTGGGATATTGAACTGTCAACGACTTTTGAGCGAGATGGCAATAACATAAAGAGCTCAAAATGTAGCTGTGACTTCTATATTGAACTATAAGTATTCAGATCGAGCAAAAGAGTGTTGTTCGTATCCGCCATTTTGGATTTGCTTGCCCTAATTACCCAGCATGCACTCAAGAGCGTGAACCGGTCTATTTACTCGACAAAAGTTGAACGGATGTTGGGCAAATGTTGAACGCAAAAATAAGTGAAGCGTGGCAAGAAACTGTAAACACATCCGGCCATTCGCGAAATTCTAACTAAATAAATATATCCATTTTCAATTGACATCTTCCGTCCACCGCTTTGCTGACTGCTAAAGGTCATTAAAGGCCCGTTTAATCGGTTTCAAAATTTGACCAACTTTCGTTCGACAAAAGTTGAACAGTTGGGCAAATGTTGAACGCAAAAGTAAAACTGTGTGGCGCCCGTTTTAGAGGCCTTACAAAGGTCTTACAATGGCCTTAAGAGCGTATGTTTGAATTAACCGAATGAAAATCGAAAAATGTGGCACATGATCGAAAAATTGAAAACCTTCATATTTTGCTTAGAGATACCTTCTAGCGAACTTAGAAACGTGGTAAGGTTTTTTCCCCCAGACTTGCTTCTTTATCCTAGAAAATTCACGAAAACTTGAAACGAGGGTCGGTAGCCGTAAAACGGCGGAAATCAGTGCCCCGAGTAGAGGCAAATCAACTTTGCTCATGAAAAGCGAAAAAGAAAGCAAGCTCGTGTCAATTTGACAAATTTGTATAAGAGGGATCGGGGTATGGCTTAAGTCTAAAATGGGACCATTTCATTTAATTTTGAGCTCAGGGAACGCTTTTAAATATCACCAATATTTCAAAATCCAAATGTCGCATTTCATAGCAAATTTTCAATCATCATTTTCCCCATGCGGTTAGGGTTAGGGTTAGGGTTAGTCCATCATCAGCGGGACTCCCTTTTTAAAAGCTTTTCTTCCAGTCTTTCAGCTTTTTTAGGCATGCAAGCGATGGAATATCAGTTTTTTTCGTAGTGACTGCGTCATGTTTACTCTTGACAGAGCCAGAAGTCGATATGTTCAAGGCATTGCAAACGACATTTTTACGAGTGCTTTTTTTCCAATTGACTTTTCAAAATCAATTGTTAAAGCTCTACAGAGCTCTTTTAGTTTTGGTTTTGTTGAACCGGAGACTTCTTTGTAGGTTTTTGGATATTTCAGGCAAGGCTTACTTTTCGAAGCACAAGACGCCACTTTTTTTATCCCGGTTACCCCCCAAGGCGCAAGGCATTATGGGTATGCGCAAGAAGAGAATAACTCAGAATCGGTTCAGGTTAAGCTCATGATAAGTGGTAGTAGTGTTGTTTTCGAGGATATAAATATTAGTTTGGGGCTTTTCATTTCCGCGCGGAAAAACTAAGCTGAACTTCGTGAAAATCGCAACTTCGACAGTTACGTTACGACATAATCTAATTAGGCACCCTGTGGTTAAATCCGGAATTCCAAGCACATTTTAGAAGTTAGCACCGTGTTCGATCGGGAAATTAATACAGTAAGCTAGCCTTGCATAGCTAACAACGACAGATTGGTTTTTATCCCTGCTTCGTTTCAAATTCTCATCGATTTCCCATGGCGGAATTGTTTACAATAACACATTCCGTAAACTAGTGGAGGGCGTCTGTTTTTCTTTGTGGATTCGAATACTAATAAGTTTTAAGAAAGTTCCTAAACAAAACAAAACAAACTTGTGATCATGTGTGACTCTTTCTCTACAAATGAATTTCTAGCAGAAAAACGCAAGCACGAGGTAAAAAGTTGCAAGGACATGTATTTTCAAACAAAAAAGCTCAGTGAGAAAATAAACTGTTGACGAAAACACCTCGAACTTGAAGGTTATAACAACTTACTATATGGCAAGACAGTCTTGAGTAAATCCAAGCGTTCTGATTAATTCTTACTTGGTCTGGATCACAAAGATGCAAACCAAGTTTCCACAAAGATGCAAACTAATACTACATTTTCATTCTGTAATCATTGCTAGCATCACATCATTCTTATCGCTGCTGACATTATCGTTTAGAGTAGGTTTAAGTTCTTGAATTAATAGAGTCTCCTTTATCTTGCAATGAGTATCAGAACGACCTTTAGTTAATATCTCAAAGTGGTTCCATTTCATGTTGTGACCAGTTGACGTGGCGTGGTCTGCGATAGCTTTATCTGTAGTAGTTTCCATCTTTGTATATGCAAATATTTTTTCTTCTCTACTTTTGTTCGTCATTCTGTTAATTAGTTACTTATCCTAAATTTAAACCTAGTCGCCACGTATATTATTAACTGTCACTTCTGAAGATGTATGTCGAAACATACGAAACGTCAAGTAAAGTTTACTAATCTTGTTTTCCAACATCGACCATGAAATTCTGATTAGAACTGAAATTGCTTACTAAGTGTAAATTGCCAGTTAGTATTACCAATTGGATAGTTGATTTTCTTTCTGATAGATTACAAAGAATTAAGCTGGCTGCGGAGTGCCTTTCGGAGAGGGGATCTGTGCCCTCCGGAGTACCACAGGGCACAAAATTGGGCCCATGAAATCGAAACCTTGAAATCGAAACCTTGAAATCGCGTATCCACTATGGAAATACGTTGATGATACAATAGTCTCGGAGATGGTACCAAAAGAGAGTGAAAGTCACGCCCAAAATATAGCAGATTGTGTATTGAGTGGTCACGAGAAAAATAGAGTTCACTTGAATTCTGATTAGTGCAAAGAGCTTCGGATCTCATTCTCTAAAAGGCCCGGGTTCTTTGATCCCATAGTAATTGAAGGCAAAGAGTTGGAGGTAGTTGATAGCGTAAAACTCCTGGGCCTTCATATAGCTAGCGATTTGACCTGGAATAGTCATTTATCAGAAGTAATCAGAAAGGCCAGTAAGAGGTTATATTTTTTAGTACAACTAAAGAGAGCTAGGGTTCCCTTACAAGACCTAGTACTTTTCTACACATCATGTGTAAGATCTGTAACAGAGTACGCGATACCTGTCTTCTATAATGCGCTTCCGCAATATCTAAAGAATGAGCTTTTACGTATTGAGAAACGGTCAATTTCCATTATAACTGCGGGTGATTGCGCGGTTGCTAAAGATTTAGGAATACGACCTATCTTAGAGCATTACGAATTTCTATCTCAGAAGCTTTTTAAAGGTATCTTAGACAACACTAACCATAAGTTAAAGGCGCTTCTTCCACCCATACATAAACCCATCTATAATTTCAAAAATAAGCGCCAATTTAATATGCCACGCCTTCGCACTTCTAGAACGATGAACACTTTTATATTTGCTATGGCAAAGAAGTTTAATGGCTAGATTTTTATCGATACGATATCCTTTACCTTTGTTACAGCACGCGTGATAATGATAGTAATAATAATGATGATACTGATAATCTAGATATGTTTAATTAATTTACACTTATTTTAATTAATTTACATTCATAGCTAATATATTTTATTTAATTTATTATCATGTTATAATATTGTAAACTGCTGGTATAATAAGATGCGTAATTAGGTTTTTGAATTTTAAATTTTAAATTTTAATTTACTTGGATTGTAAAAATGTGTAATTCAGCCCTCGGGCTGCAAATGCTTTTGAGATTAAACTATCTATCTACCATGATTTTGGGCCAATAATCCTTAGTGCGGCTCTTGCACTTGGTTACTAAGAAATTATTCTCTGCGGCAACTGCCTATTTGTCTTCCTTTGCACAGCCTCTGTAATTATGAAGGCTGACACATAAATATCTGTAAGCAAACCACAAATTTAAAAAAAAAAATCCGGAACAACGTGCCACGCCACATTAGCAGTTTGACTAGACCGGCGTTTTGTGACATTTTGGAAATCTTCTTCGAAATGATAATTTTTAATAACGAAAACCTGAAAGAAGGGTTAACTAGCAAACTGTTCTCAAAAATGCATTATTAATTCTGTAAGAAGTCCTGCGCATTTTTCCTTTAGCATGGCTGGATAACTCTTCTAGAATGCACGGTAGTTTTGTGACCCTCTCCTTCATCCAAAGCCTATAATACAGTGATGCCCGGTACAGGTGATCTAGTCTGATTGTTGGAAGGTGTGTTAAGAATTGGCGCTCGATCTAGATTAAATCTATTTCTGCCTCAACATCGGTAATGCTGACAGTCATTAGGTGTTCAGAAATGACTTTACGGCACGACATTTGCACAAATAGTATTAGCTGAGGTATCAAAAGAATTACCTTTTTCTCGACTTAGTTGTTTTAATTTGCGAGCAGTTTCCAGCCCAACCAATTTCCGTGAGTTTTGTAACTAAAACTCTAAATTTGGGAAGAACGTTCTTAACTCAGCTAAGATTCTTTGTTTGCAGTAATGATTTTAAAAGCCATGTTGTTTATTATACATTTATCCTCAGGTCTAGTTCACCCTATCTATTTCATTCTGTTGCCGGCTCCATACTTGGTATTCTTCTCCTATTTCAATCATTTTGTATTTTGCCTCTGTTTCGCCTTTACTCTGACTTTTGATCTTTTCCCTAATCTTTCTTCTATAGCTATTTGTTGTTTTGTATTCTACTTCTTGGCTCTTCAGTTATCACTTTCAACTCCGCATGAGATCCCCGCTGCGAAGTTAACAAGTTTCACAGCAATACAGCGATGACTACCTGATAAGAAAAATTATCATATAAACAAGTTTGTTAAAGAGTGTTATTCATGGATATTCGTGGCCGTAAAATTGCAAGATGAAAACAAGATTTATAGACAGGTAAAAACGAGCGATATAATATCCGGACGTTTCGGCGACTTCATGACGCCATTATCAAGGGCACAAATGAAAATAAAATTAACAAATGCGAGTTCAAGAGTTACAACTAATTTGCATAGGGGAGGTAGCTACACAAATACTTTAGCACGGATAGAATCCATTTGCACGTTCATATTCGGTGTTAATTGTTTGATGTAAAGCATCTCGTTNTTGTGAATGAAAGGACACGTTTTGCATCGTGCACGAGCGCATTTAAAAGTGCCTGGTTGGTCATTAGTCTGAAAAGAACTTCTGACCAAAAATTGCCTATGTTTTTGTCGCGTTTGAATGAAATGAGCAGAGGCTGCGAAAAGATAGTGTTTGTCT